AAACTTGCGCCAACATCTTTCGCTCGCCGCGTTGAGGGAGAGTTGCACGTTTACGCTACGATTTCTTCCGTTTGAATTGCGATTTATTTATCGAGATTCTCTCTCCCTGAAGCGTAACGTGGTCAAGCTACCATAAACCAACAACGTTTGGGGCTGTTCCGTTTGTCCGTTCCACTCCCTGGCATAGCTGCACGTTTCCTTGCGAGGAATTTGCGATTTGCGTGGATTGTCTGTGATACGTCTGAAGGCAAAAGTCACATTTCCAATATTCTAGAGTCGAAACGGCACGTACAGGGCTGATACCAATCTGGTGTTGGGAGCAATATTGAAAGGGAGCGAGAAGGATTACAATATTCATGTGCAATGACGTCACACATGGGGCTGCCTAAAACGGGCTACCAATGCGAAGCTATGCGCGACAAGTATTGAAGGCGTATTCAATGAAATTTCGATTGAAAACGTGGGGGTAAAACGGCAACCCACTGATAAAGATTGCGTGGAACAACTCTTCTTATTGTACATAATACATTGAACAGTTAAGAACAAAAGGATGTGCAGTATTGAACTGCGAACGTTCAACTTGAAGTGAAACTACATTGACACCACACAGACACACGTGGTTTCCCTAGCTGAACATAGATCAGCGGGGAGGGACGGCGGCTGCTAGAATGGCGCTATTTCAATATTACGAAAGGTTCGGCGCGCCTTTTCAAGACCTTTCAACACACAGATCGCGATTGTATTGTGTCTGTGTACGATTGTGTCCCACTCGACAGCTTGGACAGGGCTAGGGCAGCGTCCGGACGGCAGGTCACTATCTGAAGGTGCGAGAGGTCGCGTAGCGGCAGCCCGATGGTGGAGGGACCGGGGTGCAAGCTGAAGGGGGAGCGGCTGGCCCGGTTGAAGGGGCAGCGTCTGGTGAACACACAGTGGGGGAGGAACCGTCCGAAGGTATTTACGAATTTTCAGGGTTAGGATGGGACGCAGAGATGTGTTACGATGTCCAGACACACAAGCGACAGCTAGGGATCAGAGGTATGATGTGTGTCGTACTACGGGCTATTCGTACTGAAATCGTAGGGTCGTTGTATATCATGGTTGTTGTTTACGTGTACCACCACCGACTGTTTCGGTTCTGTTTTTACCCCCCACCCCCCGAAGCCAGGAGGTGTGTCCGCACCTTAGGTCATAGGTCAGATCATATGGGACTATAATATTTCCAAGAAAATTATTTCAATACATTGCAAGGTCTGAATAGTGTGTGATACCATATCTAAAATTATCTAATAAGATATTGAAAACATCCCCATCACATCTGTTTCAGGTTACTCTCCAGAGAAGATCTTACCATCTCCAAGTCATTGATTAATTTTGGTTTACTGATTTTCAAGAACATTAAGTTTTATATCATTATAACGTCATTGGCTTATTTTTGTGCATGTTTCAACTTTTTTCTTCTGGACACCTGACAAGACACTCAAGTTTCAAACAATTGTCTGATATAACAATCTGCCCAAAAATCCAAGAATGATATTAATTTTATGTATACATTGTCTTTTACCTCCATGGTATAATGCATAAGTTTATACACTGTAGTTGCAAGAATATAGAAACTCTTCTTATGCAGATAGAGAGACCCTGTACTGTGGGGCTTGCTCTTCACACACACTTTAAATATTGATTATTATAAGTGAGTGTGATCAGATTTGATGTTTTGAAACAGCCAGCACTCAGTAATTCCTGGCGAAAGGAGTTTGCAAGCAATTGATAGTCAAAAGAAAAGGGAAAACACATTATGTGTATTATATGCCAAATTAATTTTGTTGGAACCTTTCTTTATACAACAGAAGCTCAAATTTGGCCTGCAGGCTCAATCAGGCCATTTTTCATTGAAGTCATGATGGACATTGGAATTAGGTAACTCAAGGGTCAGACAAAGTATATACCAGTATACATCATTTGAAATGGTTTTATGCAAGTGACAAATAATGATGGCTTGTGGCAGGAAAAGAGTAGTGTTAATCTTTCTAGTTCAACTCTCCATCTTGACATATGCAGAAACCAATGCATATTATAATTTGCACAGATCATTCAGAACGGTGAACATATTATTAGCCTTGATGCCAGACCCATACTAGTAGCACACTGGGCCAAAACTAAGATCCAGTGTGCATATTATTATTAGTATTACTTTGGGCCCAGTGTGCTATGGGCTGGCATCCAGGCTAGAAAATAATATATCCACTAGCTGTATTTTCTATTGAAACTAAGAAGCACCTTTTCAATTTAGATTGATGGAGCTTGGTAACATCATAAGATGCAATACATATGTCTACAGAGAATAACACAAGGGTCCGTTATTACATACCCAGCATCATATTACGTAATGACACAGGGGCAGTCCCTAGATGCAGGCCATGGGCTATTTGGTTGCCATATTTTCTGTCTAGACAATTTCGGAGACAATTTCAAATCCTTGGACACCTGGGGTGGAGGTATCAGACACACCCTGGGGCAGTATTCCACACATGTAGTTATCAATCCTCACAGGTGAACACAGTGTAGCTCTTAAGGGTATGGTAGTGTACATCATCATGTTATGAGCACTTAATGTTTATAGGTTGTCGCTGAAATCGTAAAGTGGAATTATAACTGCACAGCCATGCAGCAATATACCCTGGAATGGTAATGTCCAAAGTTGCATGCATTGCAATGTTCGGCCGGCTGTATCTTAATTACTATGTGGCGTTACATAGACAGTTTCAGCAGTGTGATGTGAATAATCGCTGGATCCACATACAGTAAAGGGCTGGCCCATTATGATAATGAAAAGGGATGAAAAGGATTTTCCTATATCATGCACTACTGTTAAAATGGACGTAGTTAAATGTCTTTTTGGACTGGATTAGACAGACATCTCATACTAGATCTGGTGACAGCAGGACAAATATGGGAGCAATCTAGGTCACTTTGTGGCTGCATATCTGGATACAGAAGGAAAATGTTGCTCTAAATATGCAGACAACAGTGTTCTTTCTAGGGCTTTCACACAAATGCTGATCAATGGAAGAACTGATGTCCTTCACCCCTTTTTATGCATAGATGGTGGTAGTATTTACTGATACACAGAAGTAACAGCCAGTTTACAGAAAAGGAAATCTTATGATACCAGTAGGTCTCTGACTGTTCGAATTCATTGGTAATCATTATGTAACAGTAAGATTTCTTCTAAAAACATTGATTGTATGCTGCACAGCAGTGCCTGCCCATGAGCTTTGAGCCTATAGATCATGTCAAAACCTATGTCTGCAATTTATTTTCTCACAATCCATAGGATGCTTCCAGAGGAAGTGGGGCAGAACGGGAGGACACAACATCCGACCAGTCTGGCCTCCAAGTTGGACTTCCTCTGAGTAATGTGGAGACCCTGGGGAAGGAACTGTTTGTGTACTTTGGAGAATCTTGTCTAAGGTTTGACATTCCACATTTTGTTGGGTCACTCTCTCTTACTTCTACATTTGCAATGTGAAAAGCCATCTGTTATCAAATATCTGTACAAGAATTTGTACTTTTTTATAGCCCACTTATTCTCAACATTGGAGAAGAGGAGCTGCATTTTGGAACTGTACACACAAAAGCTCAGTTGTGCAACCCATCAGCTATAAAATAGATTTTGCTACCAGGCTACTAGTGATTGCTTTTACATAGAAGGATAATATGTGTTTACCATCTTCACCTGCCAACCAACCAATAGTGGTGAAATCATATATATCCTTGTTGGTAACTGACTGTGCAGAATTATTCAAATTCTTATCTTGTAATGTTCAAAAAGACTTTTAACCATTGTGGAATACTGGCATCCTCCTAGCAGGTTCCATAGCCTTTCTAACCAGATTCATACTGTGGTCATTCTTTCTCTTTCCAGGGTTCATTTTGGCATGAATGGAAGTGTGCAAATCGAGGGTCATAAGAACAAGGCTTTCCAGAAGACATCAGAACCTGTGCTCACCTTGATGCTGACTTCGGATGCTGTATCATTCCATGACTGTACTGTCCAGATTAGGTGAGCTGTACAGCACATCATATACTAGTACCGGGTTCTCTATATTATGGCAGATTTGCAGGCAATCTGTGTGTGTGTGTGATCTCCAATGTAGATTTTTATCACTATATACAAAACTTCTCATATCCTGATGTATGGTGTTGTAAATATTACTGAGCTGAGCTGCATTGTTGAAAAACAGGCTCATGCTCTTGCCTTGTAAAAAAGCATCTTTGTACAACTTGCTCTCTTTTCAATTGTACCAAATACCAGAATTGTTTATCATACTAACTAAGGCCTAGGAAAAAAATGTTGTGTTTCCTGTTTCAGTCCTGAATAACTTACGGTCGGTAGGTAGGGATTTTCTTCTTTTTTTTTTAGACTTTGGCGATCTCTATACAGTGATCCACCTTATACAATACAGTTAAACAAAGTAAACCTTACACTTATAGATTCAATTTCAATGTTGGAAAACCAATTGTACGACGTTTTATCGCTCAGGTGTCAGATCATGGAGTTAGAAAAGGTTGATCACCTCGAAAAATTTTTCATCCATCGCAGGGGTCAGGGTCGGGCAGGTTTTTCTAGGATCCGTTGGGAAACAGGAAACACAACTTTTTTTTACCTAGGCCTAAGATATTGATGATTCCATCAATCCTTTGCTGTAGATCATCAGCAAACTGCCATGACAAGTATTTGCAGTTCCAACACCTGGACGTCTGCTCACCACACTTCAGTCTGGCCCAGGCAACAAGAGCTGTCAGTTGCCATGGCAACAGGATGTTGTGTGACGTCCTCCTCGATCAGTCAGTTCTGCCCGGAGTGGGGAACATCATCAAGAATGAGGTGAGGCCTAGGAAAAAAAATGTTGTGTTTCCTGTTACCATCCTAAAAAAATTATGGTTGGTAGGTAGGGATGATCTTTTTATTCTCTCTTTTTTTTTTATATAAAACTTTGGCAATCTCTAGTGATCCAACTTATACACTACACTTTAACAAAGTAGAACTTGCATGAAGACACTTGTATTTTCAATCTCAATTTTGGAAAAGTGATTTTACAACGTTTCATCTCTCAGGTGTCAGATCATGGAGCTAGAAAATGTTGATCAGCTCGAAAAATTTATGTCCCTTGCAGGGGTCCACACAAACAAAGCCTAGGGTCTGCAGTTTTTTCTAGGGTTGGTCAGGAAACAGGAAACACAACATTTTTTCCCTACTAGACCATACTGGTGTTCAGCCGTTGAAGTCTTCCTTAGGGGGAAAACTAGGATGCGCTGGAGAGCTATGAACGTTCTGATACATCAGGCTTGAAGGAGCGATGGATATTTTTAGCCGCTGCATCAATTACCGGCCTTCCTTCAAGCGTTAATGGCTAAAAATGATGAAGACTCTTGATAATGACTTGAGCACTTCATCATGGACGCATCGGGGGTATTAAGAGGCTTCTTCCTGACACGAAATAGATAACACGTGAGGGAATTTGTTAGATTTGTTGGAAGGTGAAAATACGGGAAGATTCCATGTATGAACAGTTTTTTTTAACTCGTTTATTCTTATGGGCTCTGAGCCTAGCATGTATTGACTATGCTATCATTTATTTAAAGTTAATTTAGACTAAAATTAGAGTAAGATTTCAGTAGCATCCTGTTTATGAATGACATTTGTCAGACAATTTTTTGCTTGTAATATCATTCTTGCTCTATTCATCCATGCTTAAACCTGTGGTTACAAAGGTTTTGTATTCAAAGGAAGCCATGCAGCTTGTACAGCATTACAGTCGTTATAGAAGGTTTTGCCTTCGGGGCAGGATGTCTAATTTGCCTGCCATACAATATTTACATTGAAGGTGCACACGCGATAAACATCAGTCTGATGTAGTACCATTTGTCCTTCACCTCACTACAGGCCTTATTTGACAGTGGATTGCAACCTTCAGTGAAGGTGAGTTCTGAACCAGTTTAGGTGACATCTTCATTCACATTCAAATGTGCACTACAGTGGCTGTATGTAGTGGGCTGTGCCTAATGACTATAGCTGCTGAATCGTGTACATGTAGCTGCTCTCTACTCGCTTTATGCATGAAATTTGTGTTGTTCTCCACAGGAGACTTCTTAACATGTTTCAGAATCTCACCTATTTAAAACACCTTCCCCATCCTGTATTAAATATAGGTGAAATGCAGCCAACATATGGAAATATGTCATGAACAAATATCTTATTGGAAGAACAAACAGAACTACTACTTTAACATGCTAAGATTTTGGTTAAAATTAAAACATACTCAACCCTTGTTTCTTTTACATGTATTTGAAAACAAGTCCTTTTTTACACTATGCGATAACCCTGAGTTCTTTCAATATAAACATGTACATTTATTCATGACACCAAAAAGCAAACCTTACAGCAGAGATAAAACTGCCCTGAATTGCAGAGTTTGCGTACACAAATTACAAATTACAACAGACGAGACAGGTGATATATATATATACATCCCTCATATACATTAAACGGTCCAATATTTATCATAGCTCTCAGAGAGGATCTCTTGAGGGAAAAGAAGTGCCATTTTACACACCATTTGTTTGAGTGGCCATGATTCCTGGGCTCAGCTCGGCGTCTTTTGCCACCTCAAGTTGATCTGATAAATCCGTGAGCGTAGAAACTCAGTGTCAAGCACCCATTGCCTCAACAGCATATATGTACCATTTTGCCACAGGCTCAACAATTACATTTTATCAAATATATCTAGAAACATTGCGGGAGTTGTTCAATCATGCAGCCAAATATCTTATTACGGTTTTATTGATATTGTTTGATGTCATTTAGATCTCCCTTTCTGTATTAAAGATATAGATGTAAAAGTCAGGATCCCCTGGAATCAGTTCTAAGAGGTCTTGTCTCGTTGATGTGTTCAGACAGCTATGCCTATCAAAGACGTGACATGAATGAGATTTTTTTTTCTGTATCTTATCTTCTGCCTCAGGTCATGCAACTCAAGGAAGAGCATGTTAAGCACCTGGTTAAGATGACAAGGGATTTTTCTATGTTGTTCTACAAGGTATGTAATCGACTCATTTTTATGGTTGTTATATGTAAGGCCACACCAAGTAATTTTTATGGATGACGTCCTTTAGAGACCCTAAATCTAATGCGAGAGGGCGGAAAAAAACAAGAAGGGCCCTAAAAAACAAGATTCCTAGATTAGAAATATACTAAGAGACGTCAAATGTTAGGACACAAATTGAATGAGGTGACACAGTGTAACAAGCAAGAAGTCTTTCATTCATCATCAAAATAGCAATAAATCAGGTGGAACAGCAGTTGTTGTCCTGTCCTGTTTCTTTCATCACATTTTTGCTCTTTACCCATTTCGCGTTACGGGTTTCACGTCAATCTAACGATTTGCAGCACTGTCGTGACTCTTTGGTCATAGTTACAGGAAGCGGAATTTCTTGTTTTTTTTTCTAGGAACAGGCCAAAATTAATGCGCGCACGGACGTCATCCATAAAATTTACTTGGTGTGGCCTAACCTGTAGCACCTTTGAAAAGAGGTCTGGCAGAAATGAATATCTCATTTGCATGATTGTGCAGTCTACTTTTATGAAATCTGACACCAAACAGGTTGCATTTATTTACTATTGCTCAGATTGATTTTAGACATGGAGTAGATTTAACGTAATGAATATATGCACTTTTAACACTATCCCAATGTTATGGAAGACATTCAGTATTCTTGAAAATTTTGAAATTGTAATCCTTTTCTACTTATATTCTTCTAACTTGTCTGTCCCCTTTTTTGTGTAATTCTTTATCACCTTCTTATTTTCCCTTTGTTACATACCCCTATCCCTGTTGAACTTCCTGACCGATCACTAGTGTTTGAGGTACTCTGAGGAAAAATGTAGTTATGCTCTTTCCTCCTGTCTCTGAAGGAGTGTGATGTCTGTACTGTGTGAAAGGCTGGATGATTGCAGCAGTGGCAGTGTGCATTTGTGCATGACTGATTCGCCTGGCAGTCTGCCAGGGGCGTGTGCGTGATTTCCAGAAAGACCTGCTTTCAAATTCATAAGCATGAAGGACACTCTGCACCGCCTGATTTTTAAAACCCTTGTCCTGCGGAAGCCCCTATAAATATGGGTTGCACATATAGTACCCTGTATGTGTACGATTTGGGGGTATTTCTCGTTTAACACCGCAGCGAAACGCAACAAAAGTAACTACGCCACTATGGGGCAAAAAAAGTCAAGGGTTAAGACATCAAATTATTTGAAAATATTGTGAAAAAAATGCCAGCAGGACAAGGCTTAAGACTGGAAAGTGCGTAGAATAAACCATGGAAAGAACAGATTATTATGGATACGAGTTAATGCCTGTGTGAAGTTGCCTTTGCTGACTTCATGTCCTTTTCTATGTAATATGATAGTCTCGGCTATGTAGCATGAACTGAACACAACATGGATACCGTTGATAGTTGTGCGTAATTTGTGACCTTTTGGTTGAAATTCTATCAGCAGGAATGGAAAGTGGAAAAACATGTTGCTTTGAGATTTACTCTTTACCAAATTTATTATGAAGTCATTTTTCTCTGTAAAGATGTGCACAAATGTATGCAGTAATTTGGTTAAGGTAAAATTGATTCTGGTACATGATTGCTGTACCACCAAACTGGCTCTTACATAATGTTGCAGAGTGAAATATTCTATTTCTTGACATACTCCTAGTATTTCATGGTGTAACAGCATGGTGAGTGAAACTGTACCCTTTCTCCAGTGTAGGAAGTATGTAGTAATTTGGTTTAGGTAAAATTGATTTTGGTACATGATTGCTGTACCACCAAACTGACTCTTACATAACATTGGAGGGTAAAATATTCTATATTTCATTGTTGTAACAACATGGTGAGTGAAACTGTACCCTTTCTCCAGTGTAGGATGGAGGGCCACCTAACTGACACTTACCGTCAGATGGTAAAATATCTCTTCCTATATTTCATGATGTAACAACATGGTGAGTGAACCTGTACCCTTGAAATTTCTCCAGTGTAGGAAGGAGGGCAGAGCCTTGTCCAGACACTGTAAGGTGTACAAGAAGCAGTGTTGTGGTCAGTGTCAGGGGAGGATCATCATGTGTAGGATGGGGGAGAATGGCAGGATGACCTACTTCTGTGAAAGGTGCCAAACATGTGACCCTGAGACTATCACCAATAACAAAAGGTACTAGATACTAGAAAGGTTACATTTGCAAAGCAAGTGCATAATGTTTACCTTCACATATAGTCTGCTCTGTTAATTCTTACTCAAGCACATTCATATACATGGTCAGACAGGAGTCTAAATCCCTCCTGCTATAAAATTGCAACATTATGTAACCCAACACTACTTACCATGGTGACAGAAGCCTGGTCCAGGTCATTGACCTTTTTGTTTTGGAGAAGAAGAAGAAGAGGAAGCAGAGCAAAAACAATATGTTTTCCTTTGGTAAACATAATGATGACGTTAGGTGCTAAGATACTGTTTATTGCCAGTTGGGTTGATATACTGAAAACAGGTCGGGTTGGTATACTTAAAAAAGAAGAGAAAGAAGAATTTTATCTGTCCCTTGTTCTCATCTCAAAAGTGATACCTTCTCCCAAAGAAAAGCCAATTCTGCATCATGTGTTTTTCATGAGTAATTTATTACTACTACCACACTGCACTCTTGTTAAGAGACTGTGCTTCCAATTTGAGTACATTAAATGCAGTGTGACATCAGCAGATGACGAAAGCAACAAGGAGGCATCACATCCATTGTTAATACATTAAAGGCAATGACAAAGACATGTATGTCTACTGGCACTGATGTGCTGACTGTCCTGGGTTTTTGGTAAAGGTATTTTGGGTACAGAAAATATAGCAAAACAGCCAGGGTGTAAGAAGAACCATAATTAGTGTTCATTGTTGCACATAACTAGTATTTGCTCTCATTCTAACTTGACCATCTCTTGTCAATCCCTTATATAACCTGAAAGATTCCTGGAAATGGTAGGAGACAGGGGATCCTAGAATCCATCTTGAAATGTCAAGCTGAATTAATTGATGACAAACTAGACCAAGCAGGTAGCCATGACTTTTAGAGAAACAAGTCTCCGTTCGTAACCTTTCTGCAGATGTGGCTGGCAGCCGAAGGGAAAGGTCACTGTATTTTGGGTACATCTCAGTCTCATTAAGTGGGTTTGACTTCTACAAAACACCTGCTCCAAAACATTACAGTCAAATGCATTATTCCTGTAGAAACAACAGATGAGTCATTTATAGCCATTGCCACACTACTATCACACCTGATTAAAACAATTATAAGTAGACATGGATGAACTTGGACAAGAATCAACCATGAATTCCTAATACCATTGCTAGGGGCTCAATATTATCAAGGTTCTGTTGTTACTGTGTTTTATGACTTTGTGTACATGATACATTAACCATTTCCTGACCCCTGCGACTATGTATTATTTCTTCCAAATCAGTCCTCCCATGTCATACCATAATGGAATAAATGGGCTGTAGAGAACACAGAAACTGAGGGGTGTGATTGAAGTTTGATTGAGCTCCAGTTCAAACAGACCTGGCAGTGATACGTATACATTATACAGTTGAAAGGAAGAGTGAAATGTACATGTACATGTATCTTCAAAGATGAAGGGGTGGTCAATTTTCCTTTCTGGGACTAAGGTAAATACTCTGCATGCTATTATTACTTGGAGAACACTACACTGAAAGATTTTCCATGAAGCACAGAGGTAAGAAATTTCCACACCAGGTATTCCACTGAGGTGGTAGGAGTAAAACAGCCCCTTTGATTACTTGCAAGTTCACTTGAATGTGACATTGGCTATTTTTATTTTCAGAATTCTGCCTACAAAGAACAGCCTTATTGGCTGGGTTACCACCGGAGGCCATTCAATCGCCGAGTGCCAGGAATGGACATGTTCAATATGCACCTTAATCAATAAGGGGAAGGCTGGAATGTGTTCAGCATGTGGGTCGCCCAAACCCACGCCTTCCACGGGAGATTTGTCTCTCTCCGACTGGACCTGTTCGCTGTGCACTCTGCTGAATGATGGGGACACTAGGACATGCCTCGTTTGCGAAGGTCCTAGAAGTGAACCGGAAAATAGCCAAGAGCAGTCACAGGGAGTTACTGCGCTAGGCGATGGCGATAGTCTTCACTCTTCATTGCCAGCCGTGCCAGATGGGACACCTTACCCGTTTGACAGACAGGTATCACGGAAAAGAAAATTGCCTTGCAGCTCAGGTGTGATAGTCGCAGAGCCCACCGCTCCTGCCGCAGGCAAGCTCGCTAGATTAGAGTCAGTGCCATTAACAAGTCCCACGGGCACGCGGCGTGTGCCGTCGGCAGCGATTGTGTTTAATTCGAACGCTGCCGGCAACAGATTGGAAAGACCGCAACACGAAATCACTTTTCGCAGTAATGGATCCAAAGTGGCTCAAGGTACTGGGGGAAGTAATACAGTCGTGCGCTGCAAGCAGCATGACAAGGTGTGCGTAGAGAGAACCGCCCGAAAGAAGGGAGATAACTATGGTCGCTCATTCTTCTGCTGCTCCATGCCTCGAGGAAAACAGTGCAAATTCTTTCAGGTCAGTTTTCCGAGCGCTTTACAAAGACTGCTATCTACTCAAGCGCATTCCATGTAACTCATAGACCTAATAGTATGAAACTAAATAAGCATGTATGAAAGATATTATTGCTTCAGTTTGAATAATGAATCTGTAGCACCATCAATTCTTTCAGGAGGACCATTTGAAAGAAGGAAATTTTTATACAGTATATCTTTTACATATTTTGTTCTATTTTAAAAGGCAATGCATAGAAATGGAAATTGATATAAATGCTAGTATCTTCACAATCTTTATGTGCTATATGTACTGCACTTGACATGAAAGACAGAATAGCTTCACAATCTGTATGTACTATATGTACTGTACTTGACATGAAATATGGAGGAGTAACAAAACATTTGTTCTTCTTCCCCAGTGGGCAGATGACAGCTTCCCCCTGTGTAACCATGGGAAATGCTGTGTGAAGAGGACAGTTCTAAAACAAGGTGCCAACAATGGCAGGGACTTCTACACTTGTCGTCTGGAACGGGGAAAACAATGTGACTTCTTCCAGTGGGTGTCATCTTGAAGCAGTCTAGCTTTAATCACTGTGAATGTTGGATATAGGATATGTTTTACTGAGTCAATGCAGTGCGATACCCTTGCTTACATCAAGGATAAAAAACGTTGTCCTGCTTGTATTTTTTACACAATATTTTTCAATAAAATTCAGGTCTTAATCAGGTCATAGACCCTTGACTTCATGCCATTTATACTTCATTTGAATTATTGAAGCAAGGATGTTAATGTGGAATGCTGTGGTACATGGAACAAATGTATAACTTCAAATATTCTTAAATCCAATTCAGTGCCAATTTTACCATTTCCTGTTCACATCAGAAAATGATGGCCAGACTGATGTAACCAAAGTACACGTAGCCATCATTTTCCAGGTAATTACCTATCATTGTTGCGTCAAGTCAGGGACATTCTAAAGATCTGCAGGGGACAAAATAACAGGAAGCAGGAAGAGTATTATCAGGAGTATCCTTGAGAAGGAGATGTGATTTGTCGTGCCCTGATTTCTTCCACGTGGCAGTCAAAGGGATTCTCAAAATATATTTCCCATTTCCTGCCTTTGTAGATGTAACGTTTTAGCGTAATGGAAGTCAATAACCTTTAAGTGTATACAGCAGTATTAAATGGTGTCTAGATACTTTTAAGAAAATACCAAAATTTTAGATATTATGATTACTACGCTACTTCTGTCAATAAAGGTTAATCTGTGAAGATTATGTAAGTAAATATGGATCTTGTGTGTGTCTCGCCATTTTTCAGGAATAGTTCCGAACATATGGTTGTTTGTGGCGGTTTTACACTTATATGTACATGTGATATCAAGGAGGTTAACTTCCTTGGTACTATGGACAGGCGAGGAAATACTATAGGGGACAAAGCAGCACTTGGTAAGCGGGTAAAACACACTCCACACCATCTCAGGGAGACATCAGACATCATTATTACTCAGCGGGAATCGAAAGAAAGCCGGCCGATTACCGCTCACTCCCCCGTCACGACTCCTAACGCAAGGACCTGAGCTTTGCGCAAGGACACCCACGTCAGACATGGTCGGCTAAAGCTTGGGTAATGGGTATATATATCGCAAATAATACCTACTGTTATGTGGGGGCAACAGAAGTGACATTTGATACAGACATGCCGCGCATCATATAGTCTCGGACGTAACAACTAGTATTTCCGAATGACTATTAAATCGCCTTGTTCGGATGAATATTTTAACGTGGGTTCAGTCCCTATTCTCAGTGTATTTTGCAGAGGATTGCTCTGCCCTTAAGACATTTTGCGGAAACCGTGCAAAATGCAACATTTTGCGGAAACCGTGCAAAATGCAGTGAATATCACGCACAAATCCACTCGTGGTATCAACGCGGATTTGCCCAACGGAGTGTGAAACACTGGTATGCAGGTTTGAAGTCAGTAGAGAAACAATTCCCTCGTGTGTAGGACATAAAAGACCTGACCCACTGCAGACGTAAATGAATTTATAGTCATTTAGTCCGAAAGACGGTTAAGTGGCTGTGAAATGAAGATAAGGGGATTTTGAGCAAATAATGTATTTTAATGTATGCGGTCATTGATGTAGCCAGACTACATCACGCTTATGACATCCCTTCCACTGGTCAGGCGCGGCCCAGTCTAGCCTGGGTGCCATCCTCCGTTGTTTCCGCCCGCTCCCTTAGTTACTGTAACGCAGAATAGTCATGACATTTATCCGTCATGAAATGTCGAACATAAAAATTCGGGGGAAAGGTGACTTTTAAACGTTGATCCGACGGTCGAAAATGGATTTAAAAAAAAAAAACATACGTGGTTTTATGATAGAGTGAAACTTCGTGTTAATAATTGACGATATAACTGTGATCGTTTATGTAAATTTTATGGAGCGTATCTTTGTAAATACATTGTACCAAGTCAATTCAGACTGATAAATCTGCTCGTTGTATAATAAAGATCCTATCATTCTGGAAAACACCAACTGTTTCGGAAGCGGCCGGTGGTCAAAGCTGGAATAAAGTGACAGGACAGGACACGCCGTTAAGAAGGGTACAGGAGACTTTATTCCTGCTCACAGTACCAGACAGACGGACGTGTCCGGAATCGGGGATGTGAAACAGACGCAGGTGATGATGTTTACGGACACGCTGCTCTCAGTGGTTGCGTCCGCTCGCTCCCGGAAATCTATATCAATAGATAAATAAATAATAGTAATACGTCGGCGTTTTTACGTATCCCGGATATTTTTACTACTCCCCAAGCAGCAGGGCCGTAGTTAATGCTTATTTTTGACGTGTTTTAAGCGTTTTTATCGGGCTTTCTTTTTAAATTTTTTTTTTTTTTTTGGTGCGGCGTATTGGATACCAATGATACTGCCTTGTCTTGCCAGTTTGATACTGTCCTGTAGACATCAAAACATATCGATCTGCTTGGAGATAATTTTTTAATATTCCCGGTGTGGATGATTTGTTTATCAATATTGATTTATTCTCGTGCCAGACAGTCTGTTAGCGCCTTGGCGTACAAATCAGAGCCATATACGAGTACTAGTATATCCCACCACTGTCGACTCCAAATGCACCAGACATTCTGGTACGTTCACTGGGAAGATAACTACATGTCTTGAAGTCTTTATTGGGGAAAGTGTCAACCAGTATATTGTCTTTTATATATTGTGAATTTGGAAGTACCATTGAGCAAAGCTTTTTGTGACAAGTCCTTTCTTTACTCAACTCAGTGAAGAGCCTGCAGTAAAGATTACCAGAAACTAACAAATTTGTTTCCACCGTTTTACTGAGTATCTTGTCGATTTGTTATCAACAAAGAAAATGAAATAAGAGATGATTTTGTCTCTCCCTAAATCAGATGTATCAGAGATGCTCACCACCGGCGGCTAGGTGTGTGATCCTCTGATATCCTGCTTCTTAGCTACAGGGGATCACAAAACGGACGAATGACGCCATTGCGAAGTTCTTTCTTCACAAATCTAAAGGGTAATGTATGCTGTACGTAGCTTTGTCTTTATCCCAGATTTCCAACAGGTACATGTAACTCAGTGAACATGAAGTTTGATTTTTTTTACCAACGTTTAAACCACGGGGGTGTAAAATCAACCTTGTTCAGACCACAGCTGACGGTACAATAAAGATACGTTATTTAGCACATATGTAGACCCCAGGGTGAGCCAATATGTGTATACATCAAAGCAAATATATTAAAGAGGCTCCCCCAGTCGCCACGTCTATTAAATGGAGACCTGTTTGCAATCCCACTAGTCTGTGACGTACGCCGGCGTTTTTGTGCGTAGTTTGCGGTATACAGATTTTCCTAAGCTGTGCCTTACTGTACAGCGTGCGTGGGTGGGAACGTCACAATGATACTTAACTAGAAATAAAAGCCTACGCACTCTCCCTCGCAGACCTCTTCTAGGAAGTCGGAGACCTTCTCAAGTGCACCTATAACGTAAGACGAGTCTTTGCTAGGATCAGCTTGTTAAAGTCATGTTCACGGTCACGACAGCCAACCAGAAATGGCAGAACGAGGAGGCACTTGACCTCACGTGCACCCATGTGATCGTGCCCCTTCATATCAGCCATGCGCAGTGATGCACCTTACCGTCAATTTTTATTGACTTCGCAAAGTGGCTACTTCTATTTTAAGGCCTGTTTCCTTCGTGCATCGTGACAAATGGATAACGCCACTATTACGGACTCTCCCTGAATGACCAAACGTCGATTCGCCTGAAAATCACATAATAATTTCCTGGCTAGTCGGTTGGATGTAGGTACAACGGCCTCTAACGATCAGTTCTGGAGTTCTTGAGGGCGGCATTCACCATTTTGGAATGGGTACTCGATTGACGCGAGATTAGAGGTTGGGATCATCCGATGGAAACGTAAAAACGTAACGTACCTTGATAAAATGATAAAACGGGAACAATGAATCATTGATGGGCTACCCCGGCCCGGGAGGATATAGAACTATGATTGAAGCCTTCTGTCGTGTAATTTTTTACACGGGTGGTATGAACTATTATTAAAAGACCAAACTGCCAAAGAAGAAGAAGAAGTAATAACCAGAAGATGAAGGTGAAAAAAATGAGAAACAAGCTGTAACTTTGTACTAAGTTACTACTTTTAGTTTTAAGTTACTACTACGATATGTAATTTTACATACTCTGTAAAAGATGTAACATGGTGTTACCTAAATTGTATTTTCCTGAATGTCAAGGAGGCTCAAACTTTTACTAGAAGGCCATAGTATGTGTGATTACGTTTTGAAGACTAAAGTGAAACATGATTATTTATACTTTGAAGACAGGAAATAAGTTGCCTCAAAACACAAATTTACCCCCAAGGCACCATATCTAAAGACAGCACGCATTCACACATACGTGCCCCACCCCACCCATATCCCCACCACGTGCTGTAATGGTATCGCCCACACATGCCCTTTGACCGATTTGTGTGGTTAGTGAAGGAGGCGCGACGTGGCCAGGGTGTTACCTGAGTCTCCGCTCTTTACCTGTCCTCCGTACCTGTCTCAGGTACGTCAACAGTGTCTTCCTGACACACCTGACGTCGTCACGTTGTCACACACCGCTCAGGAAACAGTTAAAACGTCGTTGTTGATGGGAAAAGTCGACGCGGAGACGAGCCGGATATCGTGAAAATGTCTGTTGGCCACGGAGGTGGGGATGGGGAGGGCACCAGGCACCCGCTCAAGATCTTCGCCAACATTTTCATCTCCTTCATCGGGGCAGGAGTGCTGGGGGTTCCTTATGCCTTCAAGGAGGTAACTTGAGACGTCATCAATGATACTGTATTGTCCGATTCTTTTCAAGCCGTAAAATGTCGAGACGAACGTTTATAATAGTTGACGTTGTTGTTGTTGTTGTGACAAGTTGACAACCGATACATTTGTAACATTACGTACGTGTGGATTATATGGGTCATATGTAACTTTACATACTGTGTAAATGGTCTTTTACAAATGTTAAGGAGGCTCAAAACTCTACAAGAATGCGATAATATATAAACAAAAAGTAGACAAGATGCTGTCAAATTCTTCCAGTCCCATATCTGGTCTTCACACTAGACAACACCTAATTTGTTTTGGCTACAGTGAAGGTATCAAAATGAAGTTATTTTTAGTACAGCAGGAATGTTTGGGTCAGGATCAAGAAAATCATACTGTCTTAGGCTATTCTGGACTGACAGTTTCACAGATATGCCTCAAACATTTTGCTCTTCCCTGTATTTTGTCACTTATTTGTTGTACATGCCTTGTTCTTTGTGGAAATCTGGGTCATGTATTGATCCATGTAGTACTACCCCAGATATAACAGACAACATGTGTTGTCTATTATGATAAAAGAACTGCATGTAGCTCCAATAGGCTGAATTGTGAGTTCTCACATCAAAACAATACATGTTGCCTGGGTGCCATCCGTTTTGTAACAGGGCTCCTTGGACTCGCTGACCCAAGAAAAACTTTTTTCAGGTCAGTGAGTGCAAAGAGCCTGTACAAAAAGGATGGCCCCTAGGCTGTACTAAAAGACCTCTAGACCAGATAAAAGTACTGATCTCAGGGACATGTGATGTCAGGAGTGACCTTATTAAAGATCAGTGTGTCCAAGGACGTTCCTTTTTGAACCTCCTTGGTGTGTGTCAGCAGAGTCAAACTTTGATGGCTTCTGATTCACATTGTAGATTTCCAATGAGCAACTACTATAAAGATCTCCCTCCAGCATAAATGTTTATCCTCTTCACAGTGGGCCAAATTCCTAATAAGGACATGGACAAAACGTTATGATAAAGACCTTATCCAAACATTTTTGTCCAACCTTGTCCAAACATTTTTGTCCATGTCCTTAGGAAGTTAAAGTTAATATTTATACCACTTTGTTTTGTTGAGTCAGAAGGTATGAAAGTCGTAACAATGTTCTTTTACTGTCCATGTTTGTTACAGGCTGGAGTAATTGAGGGAATTCTCATCATGACAGCAGTTGGGATCCTCAGGTAATGGTTCTGATTGTGTTTTTTGAGTCGTATATTTAATATGTGCTTTTGCTGCACACATTTGTCACAGTCCTGCAGCCAAAATTTTAAGATAAAAACGTAAAAGCTCATTGACAGTTGTGTTCCCAAGGTTGTTTGCCACTCTAAAGTTGCTAAAATTTAGCCTTGCCAAATTACAACATTTTGATTGGAATGCAGTAACTGTTACATGTAACATTATGATGTTCTCTTCAGTTGTTGACCCTTAGAAACACTTCTGTATCCCACAGTGTGAAAGCCATGCTGATGATCATAGACAGTAAGTACAAAATCAACAGAGAAAAGAGACCAAAGAGGACAGATGACAAGGAGTTCCAGACAGACATTGAGATGGAGGTCCTGTTAGACGAGGACACAGCACATGAGAACAACGGGGATCTCATGACAGGTGTGAAACAGCACAGACGACAGCCTTCCTACGTAAGTACACACGATGTCAGAGCTAGTACAGAGTCTGTGATTTAAGTAGGTTTTGATGAACATTTATTACCACTGCCTGAAAATGTTATCACTTGAACTTGAAGGCTGGTTTGTTTAATAAAATTATTTCCATTTCTGTATCAACCAAGATTTTTTTGCAACCAAGAAATCCTTGTAGAGCCAAAGGCTTAAATTCTTGATGGAACAAAGTGTGGTTTGTTTTCACAGGACCATCATATGGAAGAGCTGGACTATGGAGATGTTGGTAAGTACATTTGTATTCCATTAGATTAGGGTACACTTACATCATTGTGATAAAATCTTCTATTATTTTTTGTAGTCTGTGGGTAACAACCTTGCTTGTCTAGTTGAATCTGGCTAACTGTAGTTTCGGTCACTGTTGTGTTGAACTGATCTCTGTAACGGTAATACATGCATAATTTAGTACATGTACAACAATTGATGGAACAATGATGTACATGGATTCACCAGTAACCTGGCCACTATATGATAGTATGATGTCCTTGTGACATAGCAGTAACATTCACAACATCAGATCAACAATGAGTAATGAATGTACGGTCGTTTCTGATATGATATGGCTCAGGGGCACATGACAATGTCCTGTTGAGCAAAATGAAAGTCATCGACGTGTTCGTTGTATTGTCATTTCAGGATTCCATGCTATTGGACCAGTAGGGAGGCAGCTGGTGGAATGTTCCATTGTTGTGTCACAAACAGGTGAGGGATTCACAAAACCTTTCCCTTCCAATTGTTATGGTACCATTCATAGATATTGAATGTAGTCTATGTACACACCATGATACAGGAGGGAGAAGGCTTAGTTTGATCTATGTATTGATACTATGAATGCAATGCTGGTTCTTTCATGTACTTAGTACAGTAGTTAGTACATGCACTGTCAATTTACATAATAAAAGTCTCCATAACTGTTGATTTAACATCTTGGCAGCTGAACACCCTTACCTATTTTGTATATTCTGAATATATTTAAAAAAATAAGTGAATGAATCCACTAACTCCTTTTTTTCCCTCCAGGCTTCTGCTGTTCATATATCATATTCATCTCACAGAATCTCATGCACTATGTGGATAACTCACACATGTAAGTATGCTGTATAAATATACATGTGTATATATATACATAGATGTTTATATCTGACAAATTAAACTAGTGTGTGTGTGATTTTCTAGGTTTGTACTCCTGTGGAAAAGACGTTGATCATCAGAGATGGATCAGTCCTAGAAGTGATATCCCAAGTGCAGTAATTGGATTAAGAACTGTAGTTTTACACCTTGTAAACAGAGTCCTGTCATGCCTGCCATGTGTTCCACAGGTACCAGTGGTTACTGATCCTGCTGCCACCACTGGCCATACTGACCATGCTGAGACAACTCAGTAACCTGGCCATCTTCAGGTAGGTTATATGACCTTTAAAAGACAAACCGTCATAATTTTTGTGTCTTAAAGATATCACCTGAAGAAGTTGCCATGGTAAAAAATAAGTATTAAGAAGAGAGTCAAAACTCTCCAAAAATAGACTTAGTTAAAAAAAAAGACTTTTGGTAGTAGAAACTGCCTAACTTTACATTGGGGACATCACCGACATTCTTCTACTGTAACATCATACATCAATCATCTTTGCTGCATTTCAGTGCTTGGCTTCAAGCCAGGCCAGCAATGTTTTCCACTTTCATTATCTGCTGTCCATTTGGCCCTTTCCCATCCACAGCCCATCTCTCAACATCATGCAACGTTGTTTCATATACCTCATCTTTTTCAATGTTCAGTTTTTATCATGTTCACTGACAGACAACCCTAATCTGCTCCCACTCCAGCTTGTTTGCTGACTTTGCCAATGTGTTTGCATACGGCGTGGTCTTCTGGTTTGACTTTGAACATGTCAGCAAAGTCAGGTGAGTGATTGACACCTGTCACATGGTCCATTTTCATCACACAGTTGTGTTTCTTTCACCTGCAGTGTACACTTCGTCACAATTGGTGCCTCAAACATGTGTTGTTTTCTATGAACTGATTTGGCAAATAGCAAAGTTTAGCTCCAATTAGAACTAATTAGATTATCTGTCTGTTAAGGCTCAGTACATCATACTGCTGAAAATAACAACTTGTGTGTATTACAGACACTTTATGTCTGTTACTCCTGATTCAGGATGCTTCTAAGCTAACTACTACCGGTACTAATATTATGCACCCTTAACCAAGACAGCAGCATTGGGGAATTTGTTTTGTTTGAATACAACTAGTGTCAAACTATTGCAAAAAATATTGGACAGAAATAAATTTGGGAGTAAACAAAGCCTAGTGTGTAGTGCATTTATTGGCCCTTTTGCATTGTTTTATTTTACTTTGCTTTGCTTCATTTGCACATGTGTCAAGTTATTTGATGCTGCATATTACACTGACTCTTTCATTAACCTTCTACTGACAAAAATTGTTATTAGTGGAATATAACACTTGTTTCAGTCCATCAGGGTGAAAGGGTTGCTCGATTATCACACTGTTAAAAAAACTGCAGCACCCAATAACTTAGCAGATCTCTTCTGTGTTGGTGTTCTCTCCCATGCTGCTTGTTGCTTGTCTATAGCATTCACACTGCTGCACGTTGTTTGGTAGGGTGGAGACTTTCCATAGTGGAGATTACATCCGAGAACCAAAGTAGGTGGGAAAATACAGCAGCAACGAAATGCATTTTTCAGAGCAAGGAATCATACCAAATACCAATCCCCAATTCCCTGCATGAAGCATTAGACGGATTAGAAGGGCTGTTTCATTTCAATATTGGAGAAGGGGGAATCTTGGAAGCTTTTCATACTCCCTTTTCAGTATAATTAACTTACTAACTCTTTAACTAACTCAATCCCTTGTGTCATAACTAATGTAAGTCCATGCATAGATGTATCTTTAGGAAAATAATCCTGTTGTGTTCTCCTGACCTTCATGTCGAAAAGCTTTCCTGACAGATCCTCCACCAATTTTGAAATGGAATAGCCCGAAACCTACCAATAGACTAGAATCAGTATAACCATGATTTGCTATCTGCCAAATCATCTCATTGTGTTGTTTGATTTCATGTTATTATAATATTGCATATCATCACTAGCCACTCTGCCAAATCACAGACCTGGTCAGATTTCTATGTACCAGTGTGCTGCATCAGTGCCACATAATGAATACTGTCATATTTAAAGGGTTCTAAGTAATATAATTAATGTTGAGCCTGCAGCAATCACCCCCATCATCTCCAAGAATGGTCTGTTCCACTTGTGTAAAAACGATCGTCCAAAATCAACTCAGATTACAGCATATCTGGTGGAGGAAATTCTGGTGAAGAGGATGTGATTCGTAAAATAAAAACTTTATGATATGAGAATGAGCATCCCTGAAAATGACCAGTTTTATGCTGAGAACATACCTGTAATTTTATATTGGTATTTCATTACTTGCAGAGTCAGCCCTAAAATGTATGACTGGAATCGCCTTAGCTTCATGTTTGGAATAAGCATCTACTGTTATGAGGTGACAATGATACTATTGATCTGTGGGGACCCCTAACGGTTCATGAACTAACTGCAGCTTCTTATTTCTCGTGGTTGAAGATGAGATCACACAGGCATATCAACAGGGTCTTTAACAACATAGGCTATTAGCTTTTGTTTGATTTGATCCTTCCAGGTTGTTCTTTTATAGCCAAAAGTACAAAACTGAAATATGATGACAATAACATGTACCCACAAAATGAACTTAGTAAGATTTTCCCCTGAACAAAATCTTTGAAATCAAACATTGTAGCTTGATAACCTAGATGTACAAGTGCAGTGTCATTTCATCTTTAAACTTGAAAGTCAAGGTCTCTGTCAACCCCCTAAATGTGTTATGGGTGGCTACAGCTTGAATTGACTTGGCCTATGATTTTCTGAACATGCAGATATTTTTAGAAGATGGCAAGTTACAATCTATCTGACGATTAAAATCCTTAGATCTCTCCTGAAGCCAGATGAAAGTGGATTGACCTCTCCTCCAGTAAAATCCAAGTCAATTTTAACTGAAGCCAACCACTAAGACATGGGTGTTAGTTGGACTGTGACTACTGTAGTCTAGTAAATGACAGTAGTGACAGTCATGTAGTGCAGGGATGGTGGTGGTAATGGTGGTGTGTGGTGATTTCAGGCTTCATCCGAAGCTGATGACTTTAGATGGAGTCCCCATGTTCTTTGGCATGGCCATCTACTGTTATGAGGTAAGTACATAGCATACAAATCGTGCAGCCTACAGTTTTTGTTATGGAACAGACGCTTTACTGAGAAATGGCAACTCCCCACCATAGCAGCTTTTAAAAAGAAATAGGACTTGAATTGTTTTGAAGATAAGATTTAACGTTACATTATTTATTATGTCAATGTAATTGATTTGTTTTATTTCTTGTGTATGAATTATTTATGTACCCAGTCAGGGTCGAAATGTTTATGTGGAACTGTCTACAGACATATATTTCCATTGAAGGCAGTGTGAAGCCAGCAGTCAGACTCTTCCAGTGTCCTAGGAAATCCAGAATATACTTGTGCTAACAGTTAAGTGCATTTCTTCTTTTCGTCATCAGGGGGCAGGCATGATCCTTGCCTTGGAAGCATCAGCAGCAAAAGACAGCAAACAGCTATTCAGAAAGTGAGTACATCAGGCCTATTTCCTACAATAAGGAGACACTTTGCAGGTGTTGTCTTGCAAGCTATTGTGTCATGATTACTGAATAGTCCGAAGGTTGACATTACCTGTACATTTTGTATAATAGAAGGCCATTTGGCTGCAGCAGGTGGGTTTGATTTCTTAGCATTGTTAGATAATAGACCAAGTGTAAAGATTTTATCAGCATTCTCTGGTAGGGAGCCAAAAAAGTTAGAAAATCCTGTTTAATGTATGAATTTAAGTACACAAATGATGTAAATTCCAAAGAATATCATGTACTAATGGCTGGTATTTTCCCTGATTTTTCCAGAGTATTTATCTTCACCATGTTTGTTGTGACAACCCTGTACCTGGTGTTTGGGGTCTGTGGATACCTGGTAAGACAAATTCCCTCTCTTCCATGCTGTATATACATGTATAATGTGTTATGGGAACTGTCACAGTGACTGAAGATACATAGGTTTGATTTTAATATCTAAATGGGAATGTTATTCTCTGGTAACAAGCACTGTTATGACATGTTTGTTTACTTGGGAATGCCCAATGCTCTGTTTGTGTAATTGATATGGCATGATAAACTCACCACAAATGTTTTTCTTCATCCTCAGTCTTTTGGACCAGAAACTGACAGTATCATTACACTAAACCTGCCACCAGGTAAACATAGTAGAATGTAATCCAGTTCAGTGTTAATTATTATGGTTGGATATTTTACATGTATTGTGACTAATCCTCTGATTTAGTGTGTTTGTTACTTAAGATATTTCACTGAGATTTTTTTGTTTCTCCCATAGGCATATTCCCACTTCTGGTAAAAGGCTGTCTTTGCTTCTCTCTGTTCTTCACATATCCAGGTAAGAACAATGCAATTCTATGATACCAAATTTTTCACTTTGATGCACAGATGTTACATCTACAATGTGGTAGTGACAGCTCAAATATCAGGATTGAAAGGGACTAATGCATTTTAAAGATATATGCTTATTCCAGCAAGAAGTTCTTTTTTAAGAAACAGATAACTGTAAATGCCTATGAAGACATTCATGCATTCTTCCTCCTATTTTGTTGTTTCTGTAGTGATGATGTTCCCAGTGGTTCAGATCCTGGAGAAGAAATGGTTCAGGGACCCCCTGAAACAAACCTTCCTGGGGGTAGGTAACAGCTGCTTCTTCATCAACATTGAAATAAAATTTTAAAAATCGCAAATAAAAGTAATAGATCATTGTGGATGTCTTTATCTTTATCTGTACAGCTGGTATGACCACACCAGCTTCGCAGCCATGCGGTATGGTGGCAGCTGGCTACAGTACACTGAGCAACTTATTACACCTAACTCTCGAACATCTAACTCTAAACATTGTTTTAAGCTATCTAATGATAATGCCCCTACTGTACTTGGTGACAGCGAGTTCCACTCTGCGATAGTTCTACATTTGTGTGTAGGAAAAAATGAGTTTTTGAACACCTCAATCCTTGGATGAATTGATTTTTAATGACACAAATAGGAAGAATCAATAATGTTATTGTGAATTTGACTGTCAAACCTTCTAAGTCTATCACATTTGATTAAAAGGTTTGGAAGTACATTGTATTTCTAAACTTCAATATTGACCAGTGTATTAATGCCTACATGTTACAGAACACCCTGCGTGCGTGCCTGGTGCTGACCACAGGTCTGGTGGTGCTGCTCATCCCCAGTTTCTCCACCATCATGTCTCTCCTGGGCTCCACCTGCTGTGCCTTACTGGCCTTCATCCTGCCAGGACTCTTCCACATGAGAATACACAGGGAGTAAGTCTCAAGCTAGTCGGTATAAAGTAGAGTGGATTCATTCCTTAAGTTAACCGCAATCATCGCCAGTAAGACATCTGGAGCTGCATTGTTCTTGTTAAGAACTTTTATTCAGTCTGTCTCAAGCTTGTCTGTGTAACACCTATTTGGTAACACAAATTAATACTGTCCAGCACTCTTAGGGTCTGACCAGTGGAAGGGCTGCTAGATATGTGATTTTAGGCCACTCAAATGTGACTTTATGGATGGTGTCCCCTTGAGATTCCAGATCAAATAGAAAGTGGAAAAAGAATGCATTATTTGCAATAGAATACTTCAGGACTTCGGTTCCCCTTTCCAGCATGCAATTCTAAGACAATTACAACATTGAATCATTTTGCAGTACCAGTATTATTATACAGGATTACTCCACCAATACCTAAAGCAGCAAAAACTGAAATTCTGCTGTTGTTTTCCCCCAGGTCTATAAGCAAGTGCCATTATGCCCTGGATGTCTTCTTCATTGTATTAGGAGTTGTAGGGTAAGTGTCTATTTTGGTCCTAAGGCTCTAGAACGGATTGCCTATCCCACATTCCATTCTTATACATGTAGGCTATTGTATTGTGAATGTCAATAATGGTGATAATACCAGGACATTATACACTGTAACCAAAACTGTAACAGTTACATACATCTACATTGTACAAGGCTTCTGCCTGTAAACATGTTAACCATATGTTCATATACATTCCACAGCTCAGTTGTAGGTACCATGGATGCCTTGCAGAGAATGCTGCCCAAATCATCAGCAACAGACAGTGGAATGGACCTCATGGCTACAAGAACTTTCAACCATTTAGTCAACCAAACTCTGAACGGGACCATTTGATCAACCCAGTGCTTTCTCCAAAATATTACAGTGTTGTTGCCCATGCTTTAATGTTTATAATATGTAAATGCTTATTGAGTTCTTATCCGGTGGGTTAATTTGCCAGTCTTCTTTTAGTTCTATTCATCTGAAGCAGGATTTGAAATTTTTAGTTTGAGCTGTTTCAGGTCTTAATTTTCTCATATACCTCATATACCTTGATGCAATAGATATATATGTACAGGGTATTTAACTCTTAATTTAGTACATTCCTAATGCCTGTTGTACCTCTTACAGGTGCCATATATCAACAGTTGTTTGAATGAAAATAATTCTAATGCTTGTAAGTGGAAAATAATTGAACTACAGCAGGCCACCATGTGTCAACACTGTATCTCAGACAAATCACTTTTAACCAGTAGACCAAAGATTGTGCCTTACCTTATGCCCGTAGCCAGGATTTTGAATGGGGAAGTTCTTCCCACTGTCTGAGGGACCAGCGAGCGCCGTAGGCTTGAAGTTCCTAGGGGGGTCCGCGGGCATGCTCCCCCGGAAAATTGTGAAAATTGAACCTTCTGAAATGCCATTTGCTGCGTTTTTGAAAGGATTTCAAAGGAAAAATCAGACACAACTTTTTATTCAATGACAAAGTGGTTTATGGTAGATGTGGCAAACTGGTTTATGGTAGATGATGAAACATAGATCAAACTTTTGGGAGATTTAGATTTAAAGGATTGAGACAATTGAGGTTGAAGCTGTTCTCAGATTTTTTGGTTTGACTTTTTAAAGCCATCATTGACATATGTTAATGCAATGGTAGAACTTTTGTATGTCAGGAGTATGGTGGCAGCAGTATCTTCTGGTCATCTAGTTAATTCGTATTAATTAACTAGATTAGTTAATCTAACTAGCATTGTATGATCCTCTACTTTTGAGCACAGAATATTGGTGATATCACTTGTCCTATCCCTATATATGTGCAATCTATTGCATATGGAGCGCACTGGATATTTTTGGTGTGAGATAAGTCAGATAGTGAGTGCAATTTTTGTGGAAGGATATCTTCCTTGTGTGCTTTCAGTGCTATTGTGCCTGGTGGAAATGGTATTGTTTACAGGCCAGTAATGTTTCATATACACTGTACATTGTACATATTGTTAGCAGTACTGCAGTAAAGATTATTAAATTATTCCTAAGCAGCTGATGCTACTGTTCAAAACTATCATGCAACTGAAATTCTGTACTTTAATGAAGACACGGCAATTTGACAATGCTATGATAAGGTAGCTAACATTTGAGTAATGCGTACTTAAGTCAGGCCACACCATGGTTCATATGCTATAGTGACCCAGAGTTAGATAAGGGAGTGCTTACACTTGCTTACATGTGAACATTTACATGACAGCTAGAACACCTCTCTTTTTGTGGTAAGGTGACCGTCATAGAGTTATATTGCACTTGCTCCTTGGAGGGGTACAGGCAATGGCTTGCATTACTGCTTGCTTGGTCTTGTTTAGGCCAAAAGTTACATACTTATAATAATTCATGTAAACCAATTTTGTGTAGCCTTTGTCAGGAAATCATTAAAATATGTACTTAAGTATCTAAACCAGGACCAGCAAAGTTAAATGTAGACCTCAGGCTACACATATCTACACGTCTGGCTATACTGGACAGAACTGTCAGAAACCTGATAATGATGTTTTCTATGAAAACCAGTATTGTGCACTACAAAGGTACACTATTATTGATTGTACCAACATTTTGTGATGTCACCAAGTGTGCCTTGTCACTTTTACAATGTCCTACAACATTTTCTCTTGCACCTATGTGGGCACAAGACTTATAACTGACTGAAATAATACCTGTTCTCAGGAAACCCATGTATTTTGATGAATGGGACTAAAGATGTAATGGTATAATGTAAATATGGTGTACTTTTGTTGCAATCATTATATTTCACTTATACAGCTGCAAGGGGAAAATCATAGAATGCATTTATTTTTGTAGGTATTACTAGGTAACATGATGCATTTCCTATTGGTATTGTCAATAGTCTTGATAACTGATACAGTAACTATTGCATCTACATGTAGTCACTTGCTAGAGAAAAAAGTTGTAATATATTCTTAGGAACCATTGTAACATACCAGTACAATTTCAACATGTCACATGTGTCAAGCCCTACCACATAGGGATGGTCTATCACTGGTGGAACACTTGCAGAACAATAAAACACCTGGGACCACTTTATGTAGCTTTCCATTCAGAGTTTTATTCTCAATGTTAGAATAACATATAACATTATTTTTCTAGTTTGAAACATTCACTTTCAACAAGTCCAAAAAGACTAAGATTATGCTTCTGCATACGTTCTGATTATGGTAACTAAATAACTTTCTGTTTGCAGTTTGCTATAATGTTAATTATAGGCATGCATTCTGTTGAACAAACATGTTGGCACTTGTAGCAGCTTCAGAGAGTCCTTCCATAAGAGTAATTGTACCAGTATTACACTTCTTTACTTGCCAAAGGGCAGAAATAGCCTTGCCATTTTCTGTTAAAACTTACAAGGATTCACAATTCTGTATTAGGTATGGGCCCCTATATTGAGTTGCCAAGGAGTAAACAGAAGGCTGTGCCCTCAGTCCTCGTATTTATTATACTCTTCTTGATAACCGCTGGCATAGGTGGCCCCCAGGCTAAGGTCAGATAGAGGGTTGGAGACATCCCCTTCCTCATCTTCCTCTTCGGACTCTTCATCAGAATCTGTGAAAAGAAACAGTGTCACCAAAATCATGCTCATGATCTTTGAATTAAAGATGGCCATCAAAACATTCAAGCAACACAAGATTGGTCTCCCTGGCACTTTTGATCAATTGCTCACATCACGTATCTGAACAGTCTTGTGTGAATAAGGTCATGTGTCTGTAACTGCAACTCTTGCAAGTTTACGTTCAGAAGTGATTGGTCATTAAATATCCTGATGAAGGTGACAGTGGTCGTTGAAAATTTGATCTTTGTGTAACCCTTATGTTGGAATAAAGTTAGAGGGATCCTGGGCCCTACTAGGGTTTGGGTTATCGTTAGAAAGGGAATCCAGCTGTAAAAAATCTTGCTTCAGAAAAGACTTGCACTTGATGCAAGCACATCTAACCCCAAGTTTCAGGGAAAACAGACATTAAATTTGGATAAGAAGAAGAAATTCCAACATTTTACTAAGATTAATCCTCACCATCATCATCATCCTCTGCATCAGCATTGCCATAGCTGTATCCGCTGTCCCCGCCGTATCCACCGTAGGAGCCGTATCCCCAGCCTCCTGAAGCCTCGTCATCTTCTGTCTGCCTCCCATAGTCATAATTCCTTGCTACAGAACAGAACAAATATGATTCCATCATTTCAAGTCAATTTATTCTTCCAAAATGCGCTTTCAACATGCAACAGAACAATGTACCCTACGATAGTATCCAACATGTTAAAATGGTTTTTAAACAACCACTTACTTGACACGCTGAGATCCTTGGTTTCTTTGGTGTTGTGTCCACACTTTGGACATGTGACAGGTTGGCCCTTAGTTATCTTAGTCCCCTTCCTCTTCACATGGTCATCACAGTAAGCAGTCTGAAGGGACCAAGGGATTTATCAATTACAAGAAGCACAAACTAAAAACACTGAACTTGCTGCTTCATACTGTATTGACAGGACCAGATCTTTGGGCCAGATCTGTGTAAACAAAATAGGAAAGAGAATCCTCTGGACTGGCCTCCAAGTACATCTTATCCTGCAGAGTAACACATCTTGGCTAACTAACATTTCCTCGTCTATGGAAAGTTTCTTTGGAAGCCCATCTCTAAAGCCTATAAAACACATGCATTTGACAAGGTTTAACTTGTTTAAAAGTTGAAGGACTGGTTGACTCACCTTACATCTCATACAGGAGTATTGCCCATGTCTGTTGCAGGACATACCTGTATGGAAGACATGGAATCAAGGTTGTTTACAACATGCAAGTAGTTCACAACATGCTGTACAGAAAATCTGTTCCATTAAATATATCATACAACCTTAGCAGTGAATACCCATCATAAGTAGATTGTATCATCATCAACCTATTCTTTTTACTCTCTGGTAACCTGTCTTCTCATCATTGTTTGTTACCAACCTAAGAAACGAGATAATGCCTACATTGTAATGGTAAAGTAGTGTTTTGTGTTTCTTTTCTAAACACTACATGTACATCTGTTATTTCCCAGTATAGAAGTTAGGAAGAAGGTTTGACATACATTTGAAGTTCTCTGCCTCCAAGACCTGACAGCTAGCCTGGTGTTCAAACTGGTCGTCCTCACACAGAAAGTTGTCACAGTAGGCACACTTGAAAAACCTGCCACCTGTAAACATATGTACAGTCCTGAAATCATAACTCTAGCATGCTAAAATTCAACAAGGGCTTCCATTGGCAGAAGTTTGCATTAGATGCTTACAAGTGCTTATTTCAAACGCATTACATGTATGTTATTCCCAATTACCAAAAAGTCTGAACAATCTAGTTATCAACACATAGCATCTGCTGAGATGACAAACACAATACAAATGGGTATGGTAAAAAAATAAGGCATAAGTTCTCATATTGCAGTAGTTCGAGCCTCCCACCTGAATCCCAGACTCCTCTCTCACACTCCAGGCACAAGGCATCCTGTAGTGGACACTCGCAGGCATGACTGGACAGGCACTTCCTCCCGTGGCACACCCAGGCCTCACAGTAATCACAGATTGCTCCCTGATTGAAGTAGACCAGAACAGGTCATATTTATGTTTACCTTTGCAGAATGAAAACATTGTTTTTGCTCAGTTTCTTCTTCTCCAAACAAATAAGGTCAATGACCTGAACCAGACATCTCTCACCATTGGAACTGGTGTTGGGTTACATCATGTTACAATTTTATAGCAGGAGGGATTTAGAATCCTGTCACCATATACATGTATATGAATGTATGAAAGTCTTTGAAAGAATTAACAGAGTAGACCATATGTGAAAGTCAACATTATGCATTTGCTTTGCAAAATGTTACCTTTCTAGTTCACCCTAAACTTGTACTTGCACAAAAGAACAGCAATTACTGACAAGACAACAGAATTTTGTACCAACGACGATGTTTGTACTCACCACCATCCCCATCCCTGTGGTATACTGGCCTGGATGTTTGATTACACAGTCCCCAGACTTCATCATACATTTGGTTTTTGCTGGAAAAAAGTCAATCTCTATCAAACACAACATACCTCTTGGACATGTTATGAAAAGATATGTTACACAAAAAAGTCTTTGATAAATGTAAGACTGTCAACACAAATTAGCTTTTTTGTCTACCAGCCCTTGAGGCTAAAATCTTTACACAGAAGTGTCAGACTTACCACAGGCTGCACAAACAGGCAGTTTCTGGACAGATGCACAGAAATAACAGAATGCTCTTGTTTTCTGTCTCCTAATAGTAATAAGCAAGAGAGACATCACCATCATCAGCACAGTACAGTCCCAGAAAATTCAACAAACAATAATGACATACATTTGAGCTTGCTTAGATATGTGTGATGTTGTTAAGGATATGTAAATGAGAGGCTCACCTTCTACATTTGTCGCATTCCTGAAATGAAAGGAAAATACAATTAAAAAAGTTTTCCCTGATTTTAAACCTCTGTCAGTTGTCAAACTATCCATCCATCCATCCATCCATCCATCTATCCATCAGTCCCATAATCAGTCTATGCTATAAAATGCTAGTATTTCAAGAAACAAATTCCACATTTTTCTTGACGTTCAAACAAAAAAGCATGATGGTGGATAAAACAGAGAATTTACCATAACAAAATTACAGGGATGATCCACAATGCTGACATTGTCCTTGGCCTGTCTGATCTCCTTTTGTCTCATCTTCTGCTTCTCCGCCTTCTTCCGCGCTCCTGTCTTCTTCTTTGGCATCTTTGAACTACTTCTTTTAAAACACTGAAACAAAATGTGTAGATGATGGACAGTTTGAAAAACATTCAAAGGAAACATATACAAACAGTTTGATACTATTTTATAAATTTTATATCTTTTGTCATCTTTAATACCTTGAGAAATCCCTCAGTGTTACAGTGTAAAAGGTGAACTTGTAAACACCTTCTTCTCACTCTTGGTATTTCTTCTTATCAGTGTTTATCTATATTGTTTTGAAGTAGCTTACACTATCAGCATTTACTACACTGCAGTGCTAGGTAAGGAATTCCATGTCCGTACAGATCTCACTGTTGACTTTGCTAGCGGGATCCGGGACTTTCACTTTTTCAGTTAGGGTATCCTCTGGTTTTCTCCACTTCCGTTGTTTCAAAGAAATCTTCTGGTTCCACCCTCTCTCGCCCCTCTCTTTTGGTCATTACCTTGTAAGCTTGAATACCAAGTATCTCTGAAGTGAAACAGCTGGTTCTTGGTGGTCTACGTCATAATCCAAGACATATGGGGAGGGGGAAGTGACATGTGGGACGGTCTGGTATTGCATGAGGAAATAACTCGGTATGTGCCGAGGCCCTAGCGGAGTGGCTCCAGTTGGCGATTAGAAACGCTTTCTACATGACCTGTTTGCAAACATACATGATTAGATCTTGATACAGGGGCGTAAATCGTGAGAAATACCTTCTAAACTGAGAAACCGGCGACTTTCGTGTTCCAAAATCAGACTCGGACGGCCATGATGGATCGCGGTGGTTGCTGGGATAGGCGCATGCGCTGTGTTAGTCAGTGACGAGACGTGAAACTTGGAGGTGTCTTCCGAGTTCCCCAAGTTTGTCCCGCAGAAAAACCTGATTTTCACTGCGTTTTCACACGGATACGAGCCGGGATCGAGGACTAAGCCCAAGATGGGGCTCCTTCCGTTGGAATTTAGCGAGTGTTACACGGACAGCCCGTATTTTCGGGACAACATCCACACACACGAGGCCGAACTGGAGCGGACCTCCCAGGCCATCAAGCAGCTTATCAAGGAGTCGAAAACCCTTCTCCAAGCGGCCAGAAGTAAGTTCTTTTACGACATTTCTCATTCATAAATGCCTCGTTAAGTGCTTCTAGACACTGTCTACTTGTTTTCCTCCAGTGCCAGACCAAGGACTTCACCGATCTTGTGACAGGACTTCGGAAACTTTGCTTCCTGTCATGAGGGGACGAGCGCGGTCTACTTTCAATTCCCCTGCCGCAAAAATGTCTCCGCGCAAAAAATCCAGTCCTTATCACCCCAGATATGTTTCCAGCGCGAACTTGGCGCGTCAATACCATAAGAAGTGCAGGCAGTTTGTCACCAATGTCTACACAAATCCCTTGTCGTGATATATACTGCAGGAAATAAGCCGCACAGGATCGTTGACTCAGGAGGCGTGCCAAAGTTTTGGATCTCCGACTGGGGAGGGCGGAACAAATTATATCAAATTCCCCCTGGCCGATCTTTGAAATAGTTTTAATCGATTGTACCAAACGGTCCTCTGTGTTTATACGCCAAGCTTTTCAAGTGGAATTTATATCAACACAATTCCGTGACTATCCTGTTCGCTAAGAAGGCATAAACACACCTCCATCTACCGGTAAGGCTGAACGCAAAGGTGGCTAGGGACTGAAGGAATTTCGCTGCAAAGAAAGGGGCGCGGCTGCTTAGTAAATCGTGGGTCTCTCTTTATAGACGGATTGTTTTGACGATGATTGCTTTGGCATTTGTTTCCTGTATGTTTTGTTAGGATTAGACTCCTCAGGGGGGTTCTACTATTGAGAGTGAAATGATAATTCCCCTGGGTGCACTAAGAAATGACCCTTCCTATTGGAAATGCCATTACACCGGCCGTTCCCACCAAATGAATTTGTGAATTTGCCCGAAATCATTTGAACTGCAGAGGAAACTGATGATTAAATGTGTCAGCAGGATGCCCAATCTAAATCAATTTTTGAATCCTATAATTCACAGATAACAGTTCGTGGCTTACTTCCTGTTCATGCCATGACCCCACCCTCTCAGTCTCTGTTAACTGTCTGATAATTGACTAATAGGTTGAAATATTGATGGATAAGCTAATGATTTTGACAGCATTATGAAAAATGTTTGTCATAGAGGCATTTTGTTTATTTCACTAAGTCAAAATTGCCATATACCACAAATGTTTTGCAAGGTCTGTCACTAATTGTGGTATGGTGCATGTATGTTAAATTGCTATTACAACCTTGTATTTTCGTAGGTTGGAAACTTGTCAAGAAAACCAGATTCCAGGAATTAAGGAAGTAGGGTAGCTGGTAGACAATGGGGAAGGCTTGCAGTTGCACAAGATGCAATATCACAAACGTTATTATAATTAAACGGATACGATATTATTAGAAAAGATGAGATGCGTCATACTTGAAACCAAGTATTTCTCAACTGTACTGGGAATACATGGTGGTTCAATACTACATGTTGTATTTGTTACAGCAGCTTGTTTTTCTCCATGATCAGTGGAGTGAGGAACAGGGAATTCTCTTATCCTACATAGGATCCCACTAGGGTGGCTGTTGACTCACTGACTATCCAAATTAGTCATGTTGTGTGTACATGGCTGCCTTTGTTTGAAGAATGGCTGCCAGGAATGTGTAAAGCACCAGTGGTCGCCACTAACAAATGCCAAATTTCAGCCGATCTGAATAGGGTCAGGGCTGGTCGAGGATCTGTGTTCTTCCTCTCCTGTTGAGTTCACCAGCAATTCTTTGGCATCCTGCCTGCTGTTCCCATATACCTCGAGGGGAAACTTTTCATAGTGCAATACAGTATAGTACTAGAACCCTTTGCACAAAAATTCCAAAGGTTTCCCTGTGCTAGTATTCCTCTTATTTCCAGGTCACCCATTTTCTGGGAAGGTCAAATTCCATTACAGATAAAAGGATTATCCTCTATTACAATACAGAATTAGAATATACCCAGTAGAGTCTATTCCCATGGGATCAGGAATTGCTTCAAACAATTGCAATCGAATGTATCAAAACCATTTCTAAAGGCATACCTTTACCAATATTTGATAAATGAAATTTATTCCTGAATATCAGAAATGCAAGAAAGCAGATACCCTACTTCTAGTCCATAACCTTTTCAGAGGAAATTTACATGATACATGTTGTTGAAATATTCATAAGTCTAAGTGCTTATGATTTATGATACAATATCATACAAAGGTTAGGTGGATACTACATGTATCTTCCATGTACTGTATAAAGGTGGTTAAGACTTGCTTATTTCTATGTAATGGTCAGCATTGCAGACAGGCCTTAATCAACAGTGCGCTTGTTTGTGGTCTTTTGGTCTCTGAAAATTCTTGTCTGTTTGGTGAGAAGACATCAACTATAAGTAGATCTCCATGAGAGGAAGGTTAGGGACAGGTCCTGCTGCAGGCCTGTGTTTACATTCACATAAATCACATGAAGGAGGGGGAACGGAAGGTCATGCCAACACACAGCCAAATATTTTCATGTTTTGAATATCATTTGTACTCCCTAGTTCAAGTTATCATATTGATCTTGTATGTTGTAGTCCACAGGGAGAATATTTTAATGGATGTGGTCGATTCTCTTCACATCAGAGTGATTACAATTATTGATAAAGCAATGTTTTCTGTTGGGGTTAAACTCATGCAGAGAGATGTTATACTGTTTGCATCAGCTATAAATTCTAAGTGTAAAGAGATCTTCCATCTGGATGTCACAGAAGGTTTCCCTGCATAAGAGCTCAGGATTTCATAGGTCACACACAGCCCCTTGCTCTCACAAGTGACTCATTCAATGTGAAAACCACTTGGTCCCAGGGGAGGGCCTGGTCTTGAGGAAACCAGATGAATCAGGTTAGGATTGATTTCCTCAAGGTGCAAATGTGATTAGGACACATTTTTTGGTGGGCCTGTCCTGTGGGTTTTGCATCATGTTGCTATATTTGTCTTTGGTAATTGATTCAATGCTCATAAGGACAGTGCTGCTGTTATCTAAAGCAGATTCAGTTGAGGTTGAAGTTCATGTGTGAAGATTGAATTTGTATCCAATTATCATTAGTTTCTTGTAAAAAAAGGTATTACTTTATGATACTGAGAATAACAATTGATACATGTGCATTTGCTTTACTTGTCTTCTGTTGTCTTCAATTTTGTGGCATGTAGACTTTGTATAGACAAACAATTTATGATATGAATTCACGAATGCAAAGAAGCTTCAAGTCAAAATCAAGGAAAGTTCAAACAGTACTATCTCTCTGCCAGTCTCTGGAGGCAACTGTGAATGTTTGTTGATAAATGGTTGTTTTCAAACTCAGTTCCCATGAAATGGGAGCCAAGAAGGCAGAAATATGTCACAAGGACTTGCTGACTAGATCTCCTGTACAGCCAGTGTCTTATGGGTTGGTTTCTGTTTATTATTTGTAATAACAGATGTGTGAAATTGTTAAACAGTGGAGCTATAAGCAGACACGAACAAAAATAAACACTTTATGAGGGTCTAGTATCAAAATTATAAACATAACCTTTCAGCAAAAATGCCGTTCAAGCTATAAATGTCATCATCAACATTGGGTAACATGATGCTTTAAAAAAACTTACATAACTGGTTTAGATGAAGAAATGTATCTTAGATCATCTGATTAGTTATTGTATTGTTAGCCTATGCCAGCCTTCTTACTTTTAATTGGATGGTCTGTAGAAGCACCATGGATGTATAACCAAGTTTACATAAGGTTTTATTCATCAGCATCAGAGTTTGCCCCTGTGGATTCTCCATGCATCTCTAACAAAAGAGCTGGCATTCCCCTGTTTGCCTTGTTCTTCAGCTCCCCTTTATGTATGGAGGAACAGGAGAAAGACAAATGGACCGGCGGTGTGTGGAAAGGACAGGCTGAGCTGACTTTTAGCCTGTGATACAGGGGGGGAGCACAAAGGTCAGGCACAATGGAAAGGTTTGAGGAAGGGAAAAGATGACACCAGTATTGTACAAATGGACGTGCCAATTCAAGAGCACAAAAGGTCCAGAGGCTTGGAAAACTAGCCGTGTACTATCCCTCTTGCTCGCATATCTCAAACTGAAATTGAAGCTGCTAGGACACATTCCAAACTGATGAAAAAATAACAATTTTATCATATATTTCCAGGACCACCCTGCAACTGACAATTGCTGTCAGGACTTGTGTTAGAGAGAATGTATTTTCATCATTAGAATACTGGGATATTGCACATGTATGGCTTATCGGTTCTCAATTCAAATTGAGAAACCAGTTGCTTTGCCACGTCAATAATCACAAAGAAGCATGATATCTGTTATTCATTGTATGTGGTTGATAAGCCTGTAGCTGATCCAAGCCATCAGAACAGATACTGATAAGTTAGATAAGATGCAGAAATCTGGATTGCTGTATCTACATGTAGAACTCTTAGATAGTTGGGTGAATTCTTCTCTCTTCAATTCTTCAGGCATAAGGATGGGGCAAAGGTAAGATGCGTACTTTTTTATGTAGGAAACAAGTGATTTCTCCTGCTTCAGGAGGTATTTGTAATAGCCCAAGAAAGTTGCCACTGTGTACAGTTATCGTAGAATCACACTGGGACTCTTGTCACTCAACAGCAGCCCCTGGTACTGGTCCACATTCTTACAACACAACACACCAGGGTAGTTTTACTGGCCAGAAGTTGGGCCCTATCTGGGAGCACGTCAGGAATTCTGGGGCAGAGTGACAGGGAGGCCAAAGGTTGAGCCATATTAAGTAGGTCTGATGTCCTCAGGACACTGGAATTTTAAAGCCAGGCTTCTTGAAATAGCTGCCAGACTCCTGCCTGCCAAGTATTGGTCTGCCGTGAAGACAGTCTCAACTTCTTGGAATGGTTCAAGAGTTGGGCAACAGCTGAGTTTGAGACCGATCCAAGAACACTTAGTGTATCCAATGTCTGGTCAAACACTTACCAAAACATACACTTAACCATGCAGCAGACTGGCTATGGCTGGCTGCAGTTGTCCTGACCCTGAAGCTGAACCATGAC